TTCCGTCACTGCAATATATTCTGCTTCTGTTGTAGATAAAGCAACACACTTTTGTAGTCTTGACTGCCATGAAACAGCTCCCCCTACAAAAGTGTAGAGAAATCCTGAAGTAGATTTTCTACTGTCAAGATCTCCCGTCATATCTGAATCTGTATAACCTTCCAAGATTGGATCAGCTCCCCCGTAGCACAGACATATCTTTGATGTACCTCTGAGGTACCTGAGAATCCACTTGATTGCCTCCCAATGTTCCTTTCCAGGATTAGAAAGAAAACGACTCACCATGCCTACTGCATGGGCAATATCTGGCCTTGTACATACCATGACATATATCAGGCTTCCAAATGCTGAAAAATAAGGTATCAATGACATTTCCTCTATCTCTTTCTTGGATGAGGGGCATGAACTTTTGCTCAACTTGAAGTGGTTTGCTAATGGAGTGTTGACAGGTTTGGCATTATGCATGTTGAATCTCTTGATCACTCGTTCAACATACTTCTCTTGGGATAGCCACAACCTTCTATTCTTCCTATCTCGAGTTATGTGCATTCCCAAAATCTGCTGCGCTGAGCCTAAGTCCTTCATGTCGAAGAACTTGGAGAGTTCCTTCTTCAGCTGCCTGATTTTTGTTGCATCTTGTCCGACGATCAGCATGTCGTCTACATATAATAGAAGAGCAAAAAAATTGCCATCTGAAAAGTGTTGAATATAAACGCACTAATCCGCAGCTGTTCTTTTATAGCCTTGACTCACCATGAAAGAGTCAAACTTTTTGTACCATTGCCTAGGTGCTTGCTTAAGACCATATAAGCTCTTCTTTAGCTTACAAACGAAGTTTTCTTTCCCTGAAACTTCAAAACCTTCTGGCTGCTCCATATAAATTTCTTCATATAAATCACCATGAAGAAATGCTGTTTTGACATCCATCTGTTCAAGCTCTAGATTCAGACTGGCTACTAGTCCAAGGATAACTCGAATTGAGGCCATTTTTACAATAGGTGAAAAAATCTCGTCAAAGTCAACTCCCTTCTTCTGAAAAAATCCTTTGACTACCAAATGGGCTTTATGTTTTACCACCTTTCCGCTGCCATCTTTCTTGAGCTTGAAAACCCATTTATTCCTTAATGTCTTCTTTCCCTTCGGAAGCTCAACTAACTCATATGTTTGATTTTTCTGCAGTGACTCCATCTCATCCTGCATTGCTTGTATCCACTTGTCTTTGTCTACATGAGTTTGTGCTTCCTGAAAGCTCTCTGGCTCTCCTTCGTCAGTGAGCAAAAGGTACTCTGATTCTGGATATCTCGTTGATGGAATCCGTCCTCGTTCAGATCTTCTTACCTGTGGATCGTTAATTTCAGGAGGTGCATCATCATCTGGCTGATGTGATGGTCCAACAACATCTGGTGAAGAGGATTGTGACTCCCCCTGATCAATATCCCCTTCTTCATCCTCCTGTTCTGCTTCCGGCATTTCCTCATACACATCGTCGTTATCTATGGTGAATTGTGTTTGTGCTGGATCTGGAGCAATATTTTGGGCACTAAAATTAGAATTAGGAGATATTGTGGGATTTTCAATGTCTTATAATGTTTGGTTTTCATGGAACACTACGTCCCTGCTTCTGATGACCTTCTTTGTCTTTGGATCCCATAATCTGTATCCAAATTCCTCATCGCCATAGCCTATAAAGATGCATGGAGTGGTCCTTGCATCTAGCTTTTGTCTTAGCTCCTTGGATACATGTGCAAAGGCTAAACAGCCAAATACTCTCAGGTGAGAGTAGGAGGGATATTTACCAGACCATACTTTCTCCGGAATTTCAAAATTCAACGGTACAGATGGTGATCTGTTGATCAAGTAGCAAGCGGTTCGAACAGCTTCTCCCCAAAATGGCTTTGGCAGCTTAGCCATACTTATCATGCTTCTGACCTTTTCCATGATTGTCCGATTCATCCTCTCAGCGACTCCATTATGTTGTGGAGTACGTGGGACCGTCTTCTCATGTCGAATGCCATATGTCCTGCAATAGGCATCAAACTCTTTGGAAGTATACTTGCCTCCATTATCTGTACTGAGACATTTCAGCTTCTTTCCTATTTCACGCTCTACCATGGCATGAAATGATTTGAAGTAATCCAATACTTGGTCCTTTGTCTTCAAGAAATATGCCCACACCTTTCGAGAAGCGTCATCAATGAATGTTAAAAAATACTTGTTACCGCCTAGTGATTCAACCTCCAAGGGACCACAAACATCAGAGTGTACTAGATTGAGCAACTCTGATCGTCTCGTAGAAGAGAAATTGAAGGAGACTCTATGTTTCTTACCAAATAGACAGTGACTGCAAGGATCCAACGCAGCTTCCTTAGCAACTGTGATTAGCTCCTTCTTTGTCAAAGTAGACAATCCCTTCTCACTCATGTGACCAAGTCTATGGTGCCACAAATTTTGAGAAGGTTCACGTTCTACTACGTTGAGGCTATCCGCATGCATTTTCATATGAGTCTTGTATAAAGTGCCACATATATGTCCTCGAGCGACAATCATGGAACCTTTCATCATTTTCCATGTGCCATTGCTAAATTGATTGACATAGCCCTGTTTGTCAAGGGCTATCCCTGAAAGTAGATTTAGCCGAAGATCAGGTACATGTCGAACGTCCTTCAGGGTTATTTTACACCCGAGGTTCGTTTGTATCTTAATATCACCAATTCCTATAATCTTAGAAGAACTGGTATTTCCCATCTTCACTGCACCAAAGTCACCGGCTTTGTATGTTGTGAAGAAATCTTTACGTGAAGTGGCGTGATAAGATGTTGCAGTGTCTATTACCCACTCAATATCTTGGTTTGAGACATGAAGACATGTCTCCTCATGGATGGAGCAGATAGCCACCTCTCCAGAAATAGTGACTAGTGTCTCTCCTTCCTTATTTTTCGGCTGCGAACTGTTATGGCCTTGCTCTCGTAGCAATTTTCTGCAGTTCTTCTTCAAGTGGCCCTCCATACCACAATAGTAGCACTTATAAGTAGGCTTCCTTCCATCTATAGATCTACCCCTACTTTTGCTTCTACCTCTCCCCCTGCCTCGAAGGTCCCCTTGTTGTCTTCCCCGGTTCACTGTGACAAGGGCATGTGATTGGTCCGTGTCTACATCTTTTCTTATGGCCTCTTCATTAAATAGGGCATCCTTAACCATTGACATGGTAAGTTTGCCATCAGGGGCTGAGTTGCTAAGAGATACTACTAATGTCTCCCAACTATCAGGAAGAGAACTTAAAAGTAGTAAAGCTTGTATTTCATCCCCAAGCGGCATCTCCACAGATGACAATTGGTTTACCAAGCTCTGAAATTCACTGGTGTGCTCAGCAACTGAAGTTCCACTCTTTAACTTCAGATTCACCAAACGCCTCATCAACAGGGCTTTGTTTCGAACGGTCTTGGCTTGGTACATGTCCTCCAGAATCTTCCAGAGAGCATATGCATCTGTCTCCTGTGCTACATGGTGAAAAACACTATGGTCAATTCATTGTCGAATTTGACCGATAGTTTTTCTATTTAGCTTCTTCCACTCCGCCTCTTTGGTAGGATCGGGGTTTTCAGCTTTGGCTTCCAAGGGGTCATACAAATCCGTACAACTAAGGAGGTCTTCCATCCGAGGCCTCCACAATGTGTAATTGGTGGCAGTGAGTTTGATCATAGCTCCTGATGAAGATTCCTCCATTGACGTCTTGACTTGCAAAAGTCTTATCAAAACTATGAGGGTTAATTGATGAACCAAGCTCTGATACCACTTGTTGTGATTCTCCGATCACGTGAAGAGAAAATAAAAGAGAAAAACAATTCTATTTCTATTTGAATAGTATTTACAACGGAGTTTACAAACTCAACAAAAAACCTCTCAAAAGAGTCTCTCTAATCTCTCTTTTTTTTTCTCTCTTCTCTATCCTATTTTTCTTCCTCTCAAGGGACATATTAATTCTCTTTACGGTAGCTCTATTTAGAGAAAAATCTTGACTACAAACCGTCATAAACTTGTGGCCAAAAATCAATCAAGAATTGCGGCTAGAGAATTTCATTTCAAATTCTCTTCTTGCATAGATTTCTTCTCCACTAAGCAATTGAACTTGTGGCCCTCAAAAGGTAGAGAGTTTTAATTCAAATTTTCTTCTTCATCCTTCATGCATGCATGTTGGTGGGAATTACTTGTTTATTAAGCAATTGAAATTTCAACAATTTAGGCATGGAAGAATCTTGAATGCGGCTGGAATATATCAGAAATAGTACTAGGTAAATAGGATTGTGGTAGATTCAAGTGGATAATTTTACAAGTTCTTCATTCAAAAGAATGCTATTTGCCATACTTTTCTGATATGACCTAAATTCGTCTAGTCACTCCGTAACATGTTATTCAGTTAGCTTAAGAAAGATATTGCAATTAATGTCTACTGTACTACATTCTAACATCATCTACGCAGATTATATACTCTAAATTAATGATTAATTCCTTATACGGTCTAATTTGGTGCATCAAACATAACCTGAATGCATAGAACTGATTGTAATGGTCATTCCTAGGCTGGGAGACTCCAAAAAATTTTCAACATTCTAGTTGGAATCCTACTTTAATCTCTTGGACGTAGATAGATTATGGAGTGATTGGGATAAAACTCAATTAGTACGAACTCAGTAATTCAAAATGTACAGATCCAGATGATGCATGAGGATTATTGATATTTGCCTTATGAAATGATGTTCTAAGTAACACGAAGATGAACCATGCATAATTGCGACAATTTGATAGTCATAATTAATACAATCAAATGTCATAAAACAGAATTGTGTAGTTCTGAAGAAAAAATATACAATGAAAGAACTTTTATTCATTTATCATGTAACATTGTCTATGTTGCACATATTTCTTCATCGACCTTATACATATGAGCATTCATACATCATCCTGATGTGAAATAATTTTAAGGGATCTTCATGGCTGACATATTATGCTTTCTTAACTTTTGTTCTTGATTTTCTTCTCCTTCCCAATAATTTAAGAACTTCATCGATCAAAATGACTGGGGTTGAAACCAAGATGACCAGGAGCCATTCATTTAAACCCAGTGGAACGATACCAAACAAATCCGCAAGGAAAGGCACGTAAAGTATGAGGCAATGTAGCCCCAGTGAGACTGACATGGCAACAAGAAGCCAAGGATTTCTCCAAGGTGGCATTCGGATCAAGCTGTTGTCTTCAGAGAGGGCATTAAGAGAATTGAACATTTCAATCGCAACCAAAACAGAAAGTGATAGAGTCATTGCCTTCACTTTACCAGCAGAAAAATAATCACAAGGGTCGGACAAAGTAATCAAACGGCCATCTCCAACTGTGAATGGAGTTGCAGTAAAATTTGACCATGATGAGCATTCTCCCCAGTTGCGAAGCTTAGACAGTTCAATCAGCGTATGACCATCGCCCACAAGGTTTATACCGAGGAATGATGGCTGTGTGTACCACAAAATAAAGATGCCAACAGTAGCAATGCCAACATAAGAACCAATCACCTGCCAGCATATCCACATACAGTGAGATGCAACCAAATGTTAAACTCTAACCTATGCAACTTGTAGCCTTTTAGTTGTAAAATAGATACCATGCTATTTGAAAAATTAAGATGTTTAATGCATCGGAATTAGAATTAAACAATGTACTACCTCCGTTCCATAAAGAGAGGCTTATTCTATTTTCACATGGATTAATAAAATGTAATTAATATACTGGGAAATATATATATATATATATAGACACACACACACACACACACACACACAATTTTCCTAATATACCTCTGCATTAGATAATTGCTTAAACTTTTCCTCGACATTTAGATTAAGTTCTATGGTAAAGATGGTAGAAAGCAACAGCCTTCTATCATGTACACATGCGCAATTGTATGCTATGTGAAAATATGCTGCACAACTCACAATTCTCGATGTAGTAAACTATGGTACTGGATCAAAGACAAGGAACAAGGGTGAAAATGAGAGACCAAAAGAGGATAATATCAAAAGAAGGAAACAAAACTAAGCTAAAAGGAGGTAACTGTCAAGAGGATAATCAAGATGCTGTGCTACAATCTGGGGGATATATGATATGGTGATTGTAACTGACCATATAGCGGAAGAGAACCCAAGGGTTTATGAGAGCATCATTGCTCCTCCGGGGTGGTTTTCTCATAATATCAACATCAGCAGGGTTAAATCCAAGGGCTGTAGCCGGTGGGCCATCTGTAACCAAATTTACCCACAGCAGCTGCACAGGTATCATGCATTCTGGTATCCCTAGAGCCGCAGTCAAGAATATGCTTATAACCTCCCCAATGTTTGATGATATCATGTATCTGCATATGGAAAAATTCATAAACAATTGTCACTATTACAAAATAAACACAGAACCAAAGGTATGGATGTAATGTGATAGCCTACTACATATAAAGAATTTATTTTGGTTATTCCAATCTTCTTCTATGTCAGAATATTAAAAAATTACTAGTCCTTTATTTTTTTTGCTTATAATCCTGTGATTAAGTTAGATGGTTTTCTCATCATGAGCCAGCTAGTCCATGAAGTGCCTTGACTCTGTACAGTGTCCTTGTCTTAGGTAATAAAATTTTCTGAAAAAATTGTACCTGATAAATGCTTTCATGTTATTATAGATTGAACGACCTTCTGCAACAGCTGAAACTATGGTACTGAAATTATCATCGGCCAAGACCATATCTGAAGCTTCTTTGGCAACCTAAAATATTGATTTCGAGACAGCAGAATTGAAGCTTAACGCAAATCCAAAAAGATCAAGTAGAACATGATTTGAGAATCAGTGAAGTTAAATGCAGTAGAATTAAAGATGTAGCAGCCAAATTCTAAGGAACAGTTTGTTCCATTACCTCAGTTCCAGTGACACCCATGGCTATTCCAATATCAGCAAGTTTCAAGGCAGGTGCATCATTGACACCATCACCAGTCATAGCAACAATTTCCCCCATCTCCTTTAGCATCCTCACAATATCTTGCTTGTGCCTAGGCTCAGCTCGAGAGAAAACCTTTCCCCCAGGTTTTGACAAAATCTCAATTTGTTGTGAAGAAGAAAGAGCCATGAACTCTTTACCGGTGTAACTTCTTCCTTGGAGATTCCCACCTTCAGAAAACAACCCAATTTCTTGACAGATAGCTTCAGCCGTTGACTTATTATCTCCAGTTATCACCATAACCTTGATCCCTGCTCCTCTGCAATCCTCCATTGCTTCGCGAACTTCCTTACGAGGAGGGTCCTGCCAATATACTCGATCAGGACTACTAATACATTTAATTACTTATGTTTAATAATAAGTACATGTAATGCTGAAATTCATAAACTTAGCGTCCTCACCCTTAGACCAACTACCCCTACAAAAACTAAGTCACTTTCTATCGAGGAATAGCAGGAAGGATCTAGCAACTTCTTGTGGGCAGAATGATTCACAGTATGGTAATCTGCAAGATCCCCCAATTCATCTTTATATGCTAAACCCAAGCACCGCAAACCCTTTGAACTCATGTCCAAGTGCCTTAGAAGCAATAGTTGCCTACAGGGCTCATCAAGGGGAACGATTGATCCATCAGCAAGTTGTATGTAGGAGCTACGTTCCAGAAGATTCTCAACAGCACCCTGCATGGGTACAATTAGTCAATGTGAAGAGGAACTACATTAGTCATGGAAGCTCAAAATCAACTACTACACATGAGGGGTTCTCTGTAGAATGAACCAAAATGAATAAAAATTAAATGAACAAATGTGAATCTCTTCTGAACATTTAAGAATATTGAATTTGGTTCTTAAAAGTTTCCAAGTTACTACATGGATGAAACTAATCAATTCAGAAATCTAAAGCACAACTATTTCCTCACATTTTTGACCAACTGAACAATTGATAATTTATAATCAAGATTAGCAAAAGAAACGTAGTTACCTTGACAAGAAGGCGATTGTGTCCATTTGGCTCACAGACAATAACACTCATTGATTTGCGAACACGATCAAATTCAAGGGTTGCAACTTTTTTGCTTCTCTTTGTCCACCATTCACAGCACCCTAGAGAGAGAGAGAGAAAAGAAAACACTAATTCGAAATTGACATAGCATAACTGTTAAAACCGTTGAACGTAAATTATGGAAAATGATTGCTCACCTAACTTGACCGTGTTTCGGTCAATCAAATAGTTCGCCGCAAGCTGTGAATCACGGATTCTGTTCTTCACCTTGCTATCTGGAACTCCCATCTTTTCTACTAAGACCTTTAGAGCTGCCTCAGTGGGCAGTCCCGTTGCTTTGAACACACGGCCGTCATAAGATATGCCAGCATCGTTACAGATTGCACATATTTCTGCCACCGCTTGCAAGTTGGCATCCATGTTATAGCAATTCCAGTCAATTATTCCTCCATCCTTAGGATCATAAGTTGTGCCCTGGACATGAAAAATTCGAGAGGCCAAAGTCTTACCTCCCAAGGTGAAGAACTCTGTCACTGACATCTGGTTTGTTGTCAAGGTCCCTGTTTTATCTGAACAAATAACAGTTGTACATCCTAAGGTCTCGACACTTGGAAGCTTCCTCACAATTGCATTCTTTTGTGCCATTTTCCTTGTACCCAGAGCTAAACAAGTCGTTATTACAGCCGGAAGGCCTTCTGGTATTGCAGCAACTGCAAGGGCAACTGCTATCTTGAAATAATACGTGCATCTCTCGAAAGAGAACTGGAAATTTGTAGGCCACCCATTTACAAGCTCCCATGTTAGGAAATATTTGTAGTTGATAATCCATACAGTGAGGCAAACAAGGCCAATTGCAGTTGTAAGCCTATTACCAAATTCATCGAGTTTTTTCTTTAAAGGGGTGTCACTCTCTTCCAACGAGGCCTCATGTATCTGTGTTTGTATCTTGCCTATTTCAGTGCGCATCCCAGTGTTCACAACAATGCAAACACAGCTACCATTCACAACTGTTGTTCCAGCAAAAACCATATTTTCTTTGGCCTGCAATTCACAATCATCCATAAAAATAGCGTTGGTGCCTTTCAACACAGGCATTGCTTCCCCTGTCAGTGAACTCTGCTCGACTCTTAAGGTTGAAGTTTTTAAAACCGTGACTCTCATATCCGCTGGTACTTTATCTCCAACACTCAATTCAACAATATCACCAGGGACAAGCTCCCTTGCAGGTAGATCCAGAAGTAAGTATCCATCTCTAAGCACTTTTACAGAATCACATTGCATCTCCTTCAAAGCTTCAAGCGCCTTCTCAGCATTACTCTCTTGCCAAATACCCACAATGGCATTAAGGATTAAGATTAAAACTATCACAAACGGTTCTACATAGGCTTCAAACCCTGACTTTCCAGTTTCATTCCCATGCAAGTAAGCTAGAACTAATGATATTAATGCTGCTAATAAAAGGATCTTGACAAGCATATCATCAAATTGTTCCAGAACGAGTCTCCAGAGGGGCTTCCCCTTCTCTTTTTTGAGCTCGTTCCAACCAAATATCTCTCTCTGCTTTTCCACCTCGTAGCCGCTCAGACCCTTGTTTAGTTTCACTTTGTACTCCTTCAAGCACTGCTCTACAGGCCATGACCATGCTTTGAATGATTTCTCATTCATTGATTCTTCCATTAGGGATCGAGTTCTCACGCAAGAAAGGACTTCTATGCTATTAGCCTAAATCAATTTCAAATCCTGCAAAAGAGAAGAACAAACGTAACCATCAAATTTCTAATTAAATGGATGAAGATAAGAAGAATAACATAATACAATCAAATATTCTACAATTGGAAACAATACTACTATTCGATCCTTGACAAAGACTAATACGTAGTCTTTTCCATAGAATAAACGAAAGACTACAACTTTGTGTGACCAACTAATTTGTCTCTGTAATGTCATGAAACATATCACTATTAATCGCAAACCCAACTAACTCTGCACACTGATTTAAACCAAAAAATAAAATAATAAAAAAATAATAATAATAATAATAATAATAATAATAATAATAATAATAATAAATGAATCAAGCAAATAAGTGCTGCAATTTCCAGCAAAATAACATTTATTACTTACCATTAAAACGCGACTCAAATGAAAAGGCTTCAATCTTTGCAAATATAAGCAAAACCCAGAATTTATAAGCAAAAAATTCGTGAAGGATAGAAGAACAAGAGATGGCTTTGAGACAAAGCTAACTGTGGAAAAAAATACTGGAAAATAAAGCAATTCTGTAGAAGATTCGACTTGAAAATTCTTTTGTTGGAAAAGCATTTGACTGGAGAATCCGTATCACTTTTCTTGGCCATTGAAATTTTGAATGAACAGGAGAAAGTGGTTTTTGAAATCTCTCTCTCTCTCTCTTTTTGATGCCTTACCGTTACATAAGTCAGTTTTGCTGATATTCAAAATCTGGAGTTGGAAAATTATTATTATAATTATTTTTGTTTAAAAATATCATTGTTAATTAATTTCGATAATTGAGAATTATGTGCCATGAGAATACTTTTAAGGAAAATGCTATTTGTACAAAATGTGTAATTGAAAAATTCATAAAAAAATTGTAAATATCATGAAATCCCATTTTGTACAAAATGTATTTCTATTACACATACAGATTCAATTTCTACTCATAGGACACGTCTTCGTACAACAATGTACGAATTGCATCAAACAACATTAAAATAAGAGAGATTATAATTAACAATCGTTTTTAGCTAATTAACAAGAATTAATCTGCAACTACAGATTTTTTTTTAACAAAAATGGTACAGCCAGAAAGTTATTTTCCTGTGATTTGCTGTTGCCAACTGTACCAATTCTGTAGAAAAAAATCTATACTAATAGCATTGTAGAATTAACAATTGGCATTTATTTAAAAGTAGAGTTTTGTTACATATACATTGGGATTGACATTTCGGTCTACATTCCCCTCACATGGAGGATCTCAAGATTTTTTTATTGTTGCGGGGCTCATCCCTTATGTGAGAAGAGTGTACACTGGAGTGTCAATCCCGGTGTACAAATAGTATTTTCCTTATATTAACTCTAATTAAAATCTCGAAATGGATGCGTATGAGCGCGACTATCGAAGATGAGGGCAGATTTAAGAGTTGAAGTTCAATTAAGGAGAAGAAGAAGGGCATTAATTTTTTATAGATTTTTTCATAATGCTCCTCTTCATAAAGAAAATTCCAAGAAAGTTCCATAAAGGTAATGTCTTCATGTTAGGTTGGGTGTTGGCATCACAATTAAATTTTAGTTTATAATATTTAAACTTGTGTCAACAACCATGTCCCATTTTCTATCAAATTTGTCTTAAACAATAAGATAGTGGAAGAAAGATGTAATCTTAACATATGAACTGCAAAATAAATGTCAAGCCATCACTCGTTTTTGGGATAGAGTTTTCTATGACTAACAGCTTTACGTCTGATTTTAGGTTAAATAGTTATATTTTTATTTTCAATATTGTCTTTTTATATAAAAAGTTAATTGACTAACAATATTATCAATTGACTAACTTGAATGTTGTCATGCATGTTAATTCCTTGTAATTACATGTTCCTAACAATTGAAAATTAAGCTTGTAGGTTCTTGTTTGGCATTCCATAATGGAATAATAGAATGAGATCATAATATAATCCCAACAAGGTAATTTAATGTAACATGATTCAACCAACCCTAAGTAGCCCAAACAGTGGGCATCCTTTCAGCCTGTTTATTGGCACAATGAGCCCACTAACAAAGATGGGCTCAACTCAAGTCGATCAAAATTGTGGAAATTACAGGAATCAAGTGTTTTTAAGATCTCAATTCATAATTAAGACTAATAGAATTTTCTTTCAAAAATTAGATATAATTAAAATTCTAAATGTTGATAATAATATTATAAAATTAATTAATTAATTAACATACCCCATCCAACCCATCTCACTTTTAAACCTCAAATATTTCTATATTCTTCTCTCTCTCTAATAGTGCTACACATCGATGGCAAGTGCATGGCGAGAGGCCATGCAACATTGGTAGCACGAAGTGACGATGACGTTCTTGTTGGTAGCACACAGTAACAACGATGGTGGCATTGTCAAGAGGCCACTTAACGTTGGTAGCACACAGCGATGACGACGGTCTCGAGAGACCGTGCAATGGGATATTGCTGCTTCTTGAGGGGGGTAGCACGCAACGGTTCTCTCATCGATACCTTTCTCTATTTACGTGTGATATGTGTTTCTGTGTTTGCGAGTGATCTATGGTAGTGAGTGATCAACAACATCTTCAATTGATGGCGGGACAACAAATGATCTATGTCAAAATTAGGATTTAAATCTGGGTGGTGCGATCTGTGTGGTTGAATGTACAATATGCAATTCCTGTGCATCTATGTGTGGGTTACGTGTTAGGTTTTGATACAGGTAGTAGTGGTGACGTGGTGATTTATCTATCTGAATGGTGCAATATTTTCTGTGTGATGTAATATGTGCGTCTATGTGTGGACCGTGTAATGGATTGTTGATGTAGGCAATGTGGTGGTATTGGTGTGGTGGTGGTGACGCTGTTTGGCTATTGGTGCAAGTAGTGGCGGTGCGATGATGGTTTTGGTAGCGATGTTGAATCTATAGTTTAAGCGTATCTATGTGGACAATTAAAGGTAGAGGGGAAGGAGGCAATGGTCGTTGGTACAAGTGATGGTGGTGATGGTTAAGGTGATAGTACGTTGACGGTGGTGGAACTGGGGTGGTGATGTTTTGGGTAGTGCTCGACAGTGGTGGAGTAGGGTGAGGTAAGGTGGGACAAATGGATAATAATTTATGACTAATTATAATAAATTTTAACCATAAATAGGCTGTGATTATGGTGGTGTTGCTGGGGTAGTGGTAGAGATGTCAACGAGCCGAAATTCTAGGCTCGGCTCGAGTAAAATATCCGAGCTTTTTTTTGGGTCCGAGTCGGGTCAAGCAAAAGATCGACAAAAAAAATTAGGCTCGACCCGAGCTTTTGGCTTTGGCCTTTCCGAGTCAGCTTGGGTTTTGTTTTGTTTTTTTTTTTTTTTAAAGGTAGCAGTTTGCAACATGTTGCCTATTTTTGGCAGCAGCATGTTGCCTTGTGTTGATGCCTTTAATTTTTTTTTTAAATATATGTTCGGTTCTCTCGAGCCGACGAGCCACATGGGCTGGCTCGGGCTTTGCCCCAGCATCTAAAAATGGGGCTCGGTCCAAGCCTTGAGCCGGGAGGGCTCGAACTTCTTTCGAGCCGAGCCATGAGCGGCCCAAGCCGACGAGCACGATTGCCATCTCTATGTAGTGGTGAGATAGTAGTTGCAGGTGTTGATGGGTCACAAATTATTTGGTTGACTGTAACTATTAAATCGATTAATTTATGATCAATAAACAATATATGACCAATGAAAAAATTTTACACTGTATAATAAATTGTGACTTATAATATTTGTGATCGATAAATAATTTGTGACTTATAAATTTTTGATTTGTGATGAACAAATTGTGATCTATAAAATTTTTGAATTGTGATCATAAAATAATTTATGAAATATAAAAATTTTGATTTGTAATCGAAAAATAATATGTGACTAACTAAATTATTAAATTGTGACCTAATTGTGTTGATCTATAACCTTAATATATTTAATTAATTTAATATATAATTAATTAATTAAATCTTCAATAAATTTTAATAAATATATGATTTCTGAAGTTTAAAACCTTTGTTCTTTGTTTTGAAATGAGGGATGCTTAACCTCTTAGTTATGGATTTTTTTCCATCAAAATTTGATGATCCATTTTGAAAATTTTTAGTACTTGGAAGAGTACTCCCTATAACTATTTAATGCTACACATATCAATTCAATATTAACAAATATATTGTTTCCGTATTCTAGAAGTACTAGATATGTTCTCTATTTCAAGGTTGGTTATTATCATATGCATTTTTCAATTACACGATTGAAGCATTTTTCTTCTTCTTGTTTATTATGTTTAGTGAAAATAAAATAAATAATGACTCAACTTAAGTCAAAATTAATTAAATAGCTCAAGTGATCCAAGAAAAATGATGAAAATATAACGAGTCTCGAATTTAAGCCAAGAATTTGTCAAAAATATACAATAATGATTGATGGTTGCATTGTGATAGTTGAGATCAAGCAAATGTTTTAAAAAGGCACGTAATGACATTTAACTCTTGTTTGATCCCCATTATCTATAAAATATATTTTTCTGTCTTTTTTTCAACCATTCATTCTTTAATAAAATAATATCATATTCAAATCTAATTTTTTTATACATTCTCTATCAATCTACTATTTCAAAATGTATTTTCAAAAGAAAATGGGCTCAAACATACTCCTAATGTCTAAATATTATATAGGTGGAGTGCGCTTGCTAAAAATATAAACCATGCGACATGCAAGTATGGAACCTTAAGGAGGAATGGAGACAAGTAACTAAAGCATCTACCGTCTCACGAGATGTTGAAAAAAGTTAACGTAGGACAATTTCACTGTTTTTGCAACAATCATGGGCTCTTAATGGGCTAAATAGCGCAATTTTCATAACGACAATCAATTTTTATTATAAAAATTGGAAATTACATAAAAGCCTACTTTTAAAAATCTCATTTCATAAATCATATGCAAACTTTAGTATTTCAAAAATCAGATTTTTTTAAATTTATAATTATAAAATTAAATTAATTATATACCTAACCTACCCACTACAATTTCAATTTCAATTTCAAAACCTAATCCCTCACTTCTCTCTATCCATCTCCCTTATCTCCTCCATCTCTTACCATCAAAAGTCGCTATCATTGCTAAGAGCTCTGCTAGCGAAAGAGTACGTCGTCTCCAAGCATCGTCGCTACGCCCGCTGGTTATTGCTCTCTTTTATCTCCTCTCTCTCTCTCTCACCATCAATGAATCTCACTGCCAAAAGACCGTCTGCAGGTAGCGCCGCTGTGATGGTTCAGCACCGCCTGCAGGAAATTTCGATCGACGTTGTGTAGAGAAGCGATGTTGTGTAGTAGCGATGGTGGTGGTGCAATGCTTAGTGGTGGTACTGTGCGGTGGCGGTGTTGGAAAACGGGAGGTGAGGTTGTCTAATTTGGTGCATCAAACATAACCTGAATGCATAGAACTGATTGTAATGGTCATTCCTAGGCTGGGAGACTCCAAAAAATTTTCAACATTCTAGTTGGAATCCTACTTTAATCTCTTGGACGTAGATAGATTATGGAGTGATTGGGATAAAACTCAATTAGTACGAACTCAGTAATTCAAAATGTACAGATCCAGATGATGCATGAGGATTATTGATATTTGCCTTATGAAATGATGTTCTAA